AGCCCCTTTGCTAAGGCAAGTGGGTGTGGTTGCCAGGTATTTGGCTGCCAGGGTATTTGGGGTCTGAAATGCTTGGGAACTGGGGAAGAATTGAGAGTAAAGGCAGGGCCTGAAACTCCTTGCACTTAACCTTTGTCCTCGTTGGAGCAGGTGGCAGGAAACCCCCTGTCAAAGGTCTTTGATCTCCCTTAGAAGCTGGGGCCAGGAAGGCCTGTACAAGGCATTGCTTCAGGCTGGGGAGAGAGGGTGGCACGTGTGGGCCCTGGAGGGGGTGGCGCTCCTGCAACCTGTGTGATCAAACCCCAGTGGCTGCTGGAACAGTAATATAAGACAAAGCCGATGTTGCAACCCCTGGAGCTGGTGTGATGCTCTCGCCTCTGGATGAAACTGGAGCTTCCAAGGAGTTCAGCACACAGCTCTGCGGGTGCCAGGCCAGCTCATGTTCCAGAGATGCCCGCAGGGCACAGGGCCAGGTCCTGATCACTTGCTGTAGAGCTGGATCCATTGCCAACCTGTTTCAGTGCCAAGGCTGTATGCTGAAATGTCCTGCAAGACCTCGATCTGGAAACAGGGAGTTCACCTCCCCATGTGGCAATGCTGGCAACATGTGACCCCAGAAAGGGTAGCCCAAGTCCAGTTTGTCACTGCCATGCCACAGTCGCTGGCCTGGCCACTACCGTTAGCATCTGAGTTTGAAGCTTTTGGCCTTGCCGATAAGATCAATACAGACTCAGGTATTTCTGGGTTCAAGACAGCCTATGGGGCCCGGTGTGATAGTTCAATGGCTAAATTCTTACCTTGTAAGCTCCGGGATCCCATATGGGCACCGGTTCTAATCATGGCAGCCCTGTTTCCCATCCAGCTCCCTGCCTGTGGCCTGGGAAGGCAGTAGAGGACGGCCCAAAGCTTTGGGACCCTGTTCCTGTGTGGGAGACCTGGAAGAAGCTCCTGGCTCCTGGTTTCAGATCAGATCAGCTCAGCTCTGGCTGTTACGGCCATCTGGGGAATACAGCAGCAGCAAATGGAAGATCTTTCTGTTTCTTCTTCTCTCTGTAAATCCAACCTGCCTTGTCAATAAAAATAAATAAACCTAAAAAGAAAAAAAGAAAAGAAAAAGCCCACATCCGCTTAATTACCAGCTTCTTTATGCATATATATATATATAGTTCCTCTCTACAGAGCTCGTTTGGCCTCCTGGGGACTTCAGCACTGTCTGGAGGCAGTTTTGGTTGAAGAGAGGACATGCTGGTGGTGGCACTTGGCTGGGAGGAGGTGTGTTGGGCAGCGAGCAGCCTGAGCCAAGGCCCAGGGGCATATCTGATGGGCACAGGCAGGTGATTGTGTGGCAAGACGATGGAGCCTGTGGTTCAAGTAGAGTGACCAAGTATGGCTCAGGTGGACTTGGATTTGCATTCTGGCCATGCCACCTCAGGCCTGCTACCATCAGAAACTAGGCTACACAGGCCTGACCTCACTTGTGCCCACTCCTGCCGGGTCCACTCTGCCTCCCAGCTGTCTGCTAGGCACTTCCGGCTCACTCTGTGCTCTTGGCCCTACAAGTGCCTTCTCCTCTGCTTGGAAAGCTCACGCACTCCAGGTAGGTGCTGCACCCGCTGACAAGCTCAGACTTAGTGTGTAACCTCAGGTGGGGTAATCTGGAGGCTGGAGCTTCTGCCTTCATCTCCGCTCCCCTCCCCCTTGCTTCTCTGGCCAAGGGGACTCCCTGACCCAAAGGGGTCTCGTTTCCACTCTGCAGCTCAGGGTTGAAGCTGTGTGGAGGCCAAGACCACACAGCACAACCACCACGGAGACCATGGCTGAGTAGCCTGGCTTCCACAAGCCTCCGGTTCTGTACCTTTGCTCAGCAGGTACACGGATGTTCACCACAAGGCTCTTAGGGCAGGGTCTAGCTCAATCGTCACAACTGCTTTTTAAAAAAAGTTTATTTATTTTTATTTGAAAGGCAGCTTTTTATAGAGAGGAGACTGAGATCTTCCAACCGCTGGTTGGCACCCCTACTTGGCCGCAGACAGTGGGAGCTGAGCTGATCTGAAGCCAGAAACCAGGAGTAATTTCTGGGTCTCCATGTGGGTGCAGAGTCCAAGGACTTGAGCGATCCCCTGCTGCTTTCCTGGGCCATAAACAGGGAGCTGGATCAGAAGTGGGGCAGTCAGGGCACAAACCTGTACTCGTAAGATGCCAGCGCCATTGCCGGCCCATCTCGGTTTATAAAAGGCAAGCTCACGCTCATAATCTCCAGGCTCATGGTAGTGCAGGAGGCCCACCCGCCCACCGGTGTGGGAGGTTTAGGTGAGCTCTGGGTTCACGCTCAGCCTGGCTCAACCTGAGCTGTTAGCATTTGGAGAGTGAACTAACGTGTGCGAGTTCTTTCAATCTCTTTCTGCATCACTCTACCATTCAAATAAATAATAATAAAAACACTTAAAAAATAAAGCTAATAATTAAAGGGTGATCTCACTACCTGTCCCTATCACGTTTTCTTTCTCTTTCTTTCTCTTCCTTTCTTTCTTTTTGTCTTTCAGAGAGGAAATGATAGAAATGCTACATCAACTGGTTCACTCTCCCAGTGGCTGCAGTAGCCAGAACTGGACTTCTCCAAAACCAGCAGCCAGGAGCTTCATCCAGTGCTCTCATATGGGTGCGGGAGCTCGAGCACTTGGGTCACCTTCTGCCGTTATCCTAGGTGAGTGACGAGGGAGCTGGACCCCAAGCAGAGTTGCCAGGACTTGAGCCATTGTCCTTATGAACTCCAGTGCTGTAGCTGTTGCTTTTCCTGCTAGGCCTCACACAACATCGGTCTGTCGCATTTTCAGGCCTTACCTGTTGACTCATCTTTTTTCTTTCATTATGTTCATTTTTTCTTGTTTTTATTTATTCACTCGTTGTATTTGAAAGGCAGAGAAGATCCATCTCCTGTGCTGTGGTCCCTTCCACAGATGCCTCCAACAGTTGGTGCAGGTACACACTGGAGGCAGGTGGCTAGAACGGAATCCAGGCCTCTCATGTTGCGGCGGGGACCTGCTGCCTCCCAGGCCCATGGCACCAGGAAGCTGGAATCAGGGGCACAGCCAGGATTTGAACCCAGACAAAATGGGGACTCAGGTATCCCAAGAGGTGCTTTAACCATTATGTCAAATGCCTAACCTCTGTTTAAAAAATATTTTGAAAAAAATATATTTGAAAAGCAGAGTTGGCCCGGTGCGGTGGCCCAAGTGGTTAAAGGTCCTCGCCTCACACGCCCGGGATCCCATATGGGCGCCGGTTCTAATCCCGGCAGCCCCGCTTCCCTTCCAGCTCCCTGCCTGTGGCCCGGGAAAGCAGTCGAGGACGGCCCAAAGCTTTGGGAACCTGCACCCACGTGGGAGACCCGGAAGAGGCTCCTGGCTTCGGACCGGCATAGTATCGGCCCGTTGCGCTCACTTGGGGAGTGAATCATCGGACGGAAGATCTTCCTCTCTGTCTCTCCTCTCTGTATATCCGCCTTTCCAATGAAAAAAAAATAATAAAAATAAATCTTTAAAAAAAAAAAAAAAGAAAAGAAAAGCAGAGTTACAGCGAGAAAGGGAGGGAGGGAAAACGGGAAAACTTCCTCCTGCTCATTGACTCCCCAAATGGCTGCAATGGCTGGAGCTTGGCCAGACCGAGAGCAGGAGTCTGGAACTTGATCTGGGCCACCAGCGTGGATGACAGAGGCCCAAGCAAGCAGGTCACCTGCTGCTTTCCCAGGCACTTTAGCTGGGAGTTGGAGGAAAGCGGAGCCGGCGAAATTCGAACCAGCACTCATGAGATGCTGGCCCCTCGGTGATGCTTCTGATTGATACAAAATGCTACATGATGTGTTCATCCAGAGACAGGTCCTTTAGTGGTGTCCATATCGCTCATCTTTTTGAAAAAATTTTAAAAGATTTTATTTTTATTGGAAAGTCAGATATACAGAGAGGAGGACAGACAGAGAGGAAGATCTTCATCCAATGATTCACATCCCAAGCAGCGGCCGGAGCTGAGCCAATCCGAAGCCAGGAGCCTCTTTTGGGTCTCCCACGCAGGTGCGGGCTCCCAAGGCTTTGGGCCGTCCTCTACTGCTTTCCCAGGCCACAAGTAGGGGGCTGGATGGGAAGTGGGGCTGCTGGGATTGGAACCGGAGCCGTATGGGATCCTGGCTCGTTCAAGGCAAGGACTTGAGACGCTAGGCTACCGCATCGGGCCCAAATCTTGCATCTTGTCTATTGTTTCCTGACCAGATACATGATTTCCCTCCCCACTGCCCCGCCAAAACAAACAGAATCAGTCCAGTTCCTACTAGTGTTGGGGTTCAAAAGTGACACTCCAGGGCCTGGGGATGCGGTGCAACGGTTGGAACTGGTGCCTGCTCCACCTGCAATCAGGCCCCCCTTTAATGCACCTGAGAACGCAATGCAAGTTGGCCCAGGTGTTGGAGTCCCTGCTACCCACTTCGGAGACCGGGAGGAAGCTCCTGGCTCCGGGCTCCAGCCTGGTCCAGCCTCAGCGGGTGCAAGATGCCTAATAAATCACTAAATCTTTAGAAACAGACGAGACTCTGAAGGGTGGAGCTGTGTCCGCTCCTTCCCCAGCCCGGTGCGCTGCGGATTCGTGTTCTCCCACTAAGCCCGTGGAGTCCCCGCTCCGCAAGGCGACGGAAGATGAATCATCGAATTGCTCGGGCGACCAGCCTGCGGGCCGGATTTTGCGATGTACTGAAAAGTTAATTGTTGACCTCGCCATCACACTTATTTATACTCATTTAATGAACTTCCTCCATTCCTGACTCGTGTTGGGGGAGTTTGTTTACTCGAGGCACGCTTGCGCACTCCTGGCGTCCAGCGTGGGCTGCGCCTCCCGGAGGCCCCGCCTTCCGGCACCGACCATTGGTCGGCTCCGCCGGACGCGCTCCTGATTGGGTGGCGCGGGCCGTGCCCCCTTGCGTCTCGAAGTTGGCGGGAAAGCGGCGGTGGCGCAGCATGGCGGCGGCCGCGATCCCTGTCCCCGGCGGCAGCTCGGCGGCCGTGCGGCTGCCCCGGTCGCCTCCCGTCAAGGTGCTAGCGGAGCAGCTGCGGCGCGACGCGACGGGCGGCCCGGGAGCTTGGCGGCTGTCCCGGGCGGCGGCGGGCCGCGAGCCGCTGGAGCTGGCGGCCGTGTGGATGCAGGGCACGGTGGTGGAGGCGGCCGGCGGCGAGGCGCGCCTGCGGGACCCGAGCGGCGTCTTCTCTGTGCGCGGCCTGGACCGGGTGCCGCGCGGGCGGCCCTGCCTCGTCCCAGGTAACGCCGCGGCCCGGGTCGCAGCGCCAGCCCTCCTCGCGGCCGGGGAGGGGAAGAGGGACCCCGGGGAGGGACGCTCCTCAGTGTATGAGGGTCAGGGACCCAAGTACTCGAACCCCCTCCCCGGGTGCTCAGCAGCCGGACTGCAAACAGGTAGCCTGGGGTCCCAGGCACTCTGATGAGGGGACGGAGGGAAACGGGCTTCCCCCGTCCCAAGACAGGCACTGGGCACTCGGGCTCCCTGCCCGCATTTGCTGGGATGTTGGTTGAGCCTCCAGAGAACAGGCCAGGCATCTGTGGTCCAGAGGCAGCCTCCTGGGCGGGTGGTCCCCGAGGCTGCTGGGGGACCTGTGGGCTCCCTTTGGGTGAAATCCAGCCAAGGTCCTCGCGTCCCTGGGACCCTGCTTGCTCTGCCTAGGGAGCTAGCTAGAGGCTGGACAGGCAGTGTGCAGTCTGAGCTGCCTGGAGCCCTGTTCTTAACCTTTCTGGTCCCTGCCTGTTGTGTGGGTTGGCCGTGAGGCACAGCCTGGCTCCCAGCTGAGTCTCCTCCCCAAAGGCTTGAAGAGTCTCATTTACTGATCACCCAGGTGACAAACCTGCACTTTGTTGTTCACGATCAGGCCTGGTGATTGGGAAGGTGGGTTGGGGGACCTGCTGCCTGCCCAGCTTTTGGGACAACATCCAGGGAAAATTGGATTTTGTTCATGGCTGGGTTGAAAATGTGGCTTTGCAGAGAAAGGCCCCATGCTGTGTGCTACCTTGGAGTGACTCCTCAGGCGTGTGTGCATTGTGGAGCAACACTCAATGTAAAGTAGTCAAACCAAAGCCAGCAGTTGGGTGTTGTCCGTTTTCCTTGTTAAATGCTGAACTCATTGCTAACACGCTTCCAAGTGCACTGTTTGTGTTTGAAGTTCATGGAGGGCAGAAATAAGGGCTCAGTTTATTTCAGTGCAGAAAAGTTTGAAGTCATCCATATGTGAAATCCTCACAAAGTTTTTGGAAATGTATATTATAAAAAAAGATGGAGGGGCTGGCACCATGGCACAGCCGACATCCCTTCTGGGTGCTGGTTCAAGATCCTGCTGCCCCACTTCCAAACTCGCTCCCTGTTAGTGCTCCTGGGAAAGCAGCGTAGGATGACCCAAGTGAGTTCTGGCCTTCTGGCTTTGGCCTGGTCCAGCATGACCATTGTGACCATCTGGGGAGTGAACCAGTGGATGGAAGATAGCTCTCGCTTTCTCTCCAATTTTGCCTTTCAAATAAATAAATATAATCTTAAAACACACCACACTGAAAACACAGCTATGCATGGATTTCAAAACCTTTCCTCAAATAAGCTCAGCTTTTCATTCTTTCCCCACAAACTTGGTGGGGGGCACTTGAGGTGGCCCCCTGTTTTCTGGTCCCACACTGTCTTGCATTTTGGTTTCATGTCAACAGCGGCCTCTCTTCCTTTCCCAGGGAAGTACGTGATGGTCATGGGAGTGGTTCAGGCCTGCAGTCCTGAGCCATGCCTTCAGGCTGTGAAGATGACCGATCTTTCTGATAACCCCGTCCATGAAAGCATGTGGGAACTGGAAGTGGAAGATCTGCATAGGAGCATGCCTTAAATGATATGGAAACTGGCCGGCAAAACCAGCTCGGGGGCCAGAGTCGTGCCATAGCAGGTAAAGCCTCCCCTGTGATACCAGAGTACCATCTGGATGCTGGTTCAAGTCCTGGCTGCTCCACTTCCCATCCCGCTCCCTGCGAACGGGCTGGGACGGCAGTGGAAGATGGCCCAAGTGCTGAAGCCCTGTGCCTGCGTGGGAGTTGTGTGCTTCTGGCTTTGGCCTGACCCTGCCTTCTGTGAGTGTACCGATGGGTGGAAGATCAAATTCTCTGTTTCTCCCTTAGCTGCTTCAGATCTCACACACACACACACACACACACACACACACACACACACGCAAGTTCAGTGTGAAAGGCTTTGGGCCTGTGTTTCTCACAGACTGTGCTTTGGTGGACCAAGGAACCCGGATGCAGAAACCAGCCAGCACTAGGATCCTCTCTAGGATGCTTGCTGCCGAGCAGATGCTGTGTTCCTTTTTTTCTCTTTGGGGTTTGTGTGTGTGTCAATCTTTCTCTGAAGCACACAGAAATCTCAGGTCACGTTTTGCAAGTTTTATGAGCGATGGTACTTTGTGCCTGACTGCAGGCTCCCTGCTACACGGTACCAGATTGGATTCTCAGTCATCGCCCGGGATGATGGAACTGTGATCGTGGGAAGGAATGCAGACACCCGAACAGAGGCATGACCTCATGGCTGTGCGGCCACTCCCTCAGAGACCTCCACATCCAGTTTGCGAGCCCAGTGCCATTCTCCACCAGTAGGGCCTGAGCGCCCCAGAAGCTTGAGCTCACTTTGACTTTTGGGGTTTGGTCCCTTGGGCTGGGAGGCGATACCTTCTGCTGTCTCTCAGAACTCTTGAATCATCATCAAGGTTTCCTGTTGCCTGGGGATGCCTTTCAGGCCCTGTGGTTCTTGGCAGGGACCACCGGGAGAGCAGCATCCGCTGGGGAGCCGGTCTCCTGTTTGTGGGGACTCCCCTGCTGTTGTGCGCCTGTTGCGTGCTGGGCTTCTGCCCACTGCCCATGACCCACGCCTGAGTTTTTAGATTGTCCATATCAGGGACTCGGCTTATATTCCAACACTGCTGTCAGGTTTCAATTGGATTCTTAATATGAGACTACTAATAAAATTTTGTTCCATGCTGTCTTGTTTTAGGAGTAGGCTGTTTTCTCAGAGCAGTTTCAGGTCTGCAGATACACTGAGCAGGGAGTGCCGAGTTCTCTGTAATCTGGACTCACAGCCCACCCTTGTGGTTCCCACTGCTGCTGATGTCCCATGAGTATGGTGTATTTGTCACAGATGTGCTGTATGTCATGCTGGTACATTTGTAACTGCAGCTGACCCTTACAGTAGAGGCTGCTGTGGATGACACGGAAGGCCCCGGATGCACCCGACCGAGTGTTACAGCGTAGAGTTCCTTCGTTCTTAAACTCCACCAGACTGCCCATCTCCTCCTTCCTCCTGCTCCAAGCTCGGAACAAGCAGGGACTGTGTAAAAAGGTGTATTCATTTATGTACTCTTTTGTTTGTTTATTTCGAAGGCAAAGTGACTGGGCGGCTAAGCCTCCACCTGGGATGCCAGCATCCCATAAGGATGCTGGTTTGCATTCTAACTGTTCCACTTCTAGTCCGGCTACCTGATAATAGCCTGGGAAAGTAGTGGAGAATGAGTCAAATTCTTGGAACTCCGCACCCATGTAGGTGACCCAGAAGAAGCTCCTGGCTCCTGGCTTTGGACCAGCTCAGCTCCAAATGGCTATTGTGGTCATTTGGAGAGTAAACCAGCAGATGGAAGATATCTTTGTGTCTTTGCTCCTCTCTGTAACTCTGCTTTTCAAATAAGTAACTCTTTAAAAAGGAAAAAAAAAGGCAGTGTTGCAAGCGGTGCTTTAACACACCAATGGGTTTGGCTTTTTCTGAACTGTTTTCTAGGCTGTTCTGCGGTGGATCATCTGTGCAGGGCCTTCCACGCCCTCCCTCGGTGCGCACTCAGTCTTCCTCCAAGTCTTTGTGCCAGCCCTAGTTCAGTTCCTTTTCTCACTGAGCAATACCTCAGTGTGTGGATTTATCCACCCAGCTCTCCTAGCCAAGGGCATCTCGCGTGACTGTAAGTCTTCCAGGACCACGAGCAGGGCAGCTGCAAACCTTTGCCTGCGGACAGCCCAGGTGGGACTAGACCGAAGCTAGGACCCGCAGACTCATTTGGGGTCCCTCAAAGGTGGCAGGGGCCCAAGTGCCCCCTAGGGTGCACAGCAGCAGGAAGCCAGAGCTGGGATGCAGGCGTCCAGAGGGGTGTGCCAAACGCCCACCTCCAGGAACCGAGCCTTAACGGGAGCTGCTGGGGGCCTGACTTTGAGCCCTTCATCTGCTGCTAAGCTTTAGTAAAAACAGAAAGAGTATTTGGAAAGCAAAATGACAGATCTTTCATCGGCTGGTTCACTCCTCAGATGCCAGCCAGGGAGTGCTGAAACCAGGCAGGCGGTCAGCTCTCCATCCGGGTCTCTGGTGTGGGTGTCAGCTGGAGAAGGGGAGCCAGGACTTGAACCAGGCTCCAGTGTAGGCTGCAGGCGCCCTGAGCGGCAGCGTGACGTGCTGCTCACAGCACTGCCACTCTTGTTCAGTCTGCTGTGCGACTGCGAGCTCATCGCCTGACCACTCCGTTCTTGAACTTCCTCACTGGTAAGATGCACAGCACACCCGGCTTGTGGTTCTGATGGGAATCTGTGTAAATCTGTTCTCATACAATGTCTGGCAGATCGTAGGTGCCAACTTAATGCTGCTGGAAGGAGCAGTCGGTCCTGGCTTATGTCAGTCAGTTTTGCCTTTTAAATATAAGGGTTCTTCAGAAAATTGATGGAAAAAATGGAAGACAAATTTATGTTGAAGCCAAAATTTTTTTTGAAATCTATGCCTACAAGGGATCTCTCCAAAAACTTTATGGAAATATGTACTAAGAAAAAATTATGGGATTTGGCACAATGACTCAATGGGCTAAAAGCACCAGGATCCCATATGGGCACTGTTCATGTTCTGGCTGTTCTGCTTCCCATCCAGCTCCCTGTGTGGCCTGGGAAAGCAGCAGAGGATAGCTGAAGACCTTGGACTCCTGCACCCACAAGGGAGACCCAGAAGGCTGCTCCTGGCTTCAGATCTGCTCAGCTCAGGCTGTTGTGGCCATTTGGGGAATGAACCAGCACATGGAAGATCTCTGTTTCTCTAAATATGCCTTTCCAATAAAAATAAATAAACCTTGGGCCCAGCGTGGTAGCCTAGTGGCTAAACCCCTCGCCTTGAGCATGGTAGGATCCCATATGGGTGCTGGTTCATATCCTGGCGCCCCCATTTCCCATCCAGCTCCCTGCTTGTGGCCTGGGAAAGCAGTCGAGGATGGCCCAAAGCCTTGGGACCATGTACCCATGTGGGAGACCCAGAAGAGGCTCCAGGCTCCTGGCTTCCGATTGGCTCAGCTCCTGCCATTGAGGCTACTTGGGGAGTGAATCATCTGACAAAAGATCTTCCTCTCTGTCTCTCCTCCTCTCTGTATATCTGACTGTCCAATAAAAGTAAAACCTTTAAAAATAAATATACCTTTAAGAAGAGAGGGCCCGATGCAGTAGCCTAGCGGTTGAAGTCATTGCCTTGCATGTGCTGAGATCCTATATGGGCACTGGTTCTAAGTTCCCTGCTTGTGGCCTGGGAAAGCAGTCAAAGGTGGCCCAAAGCCTTGGGTCCCTGAATCCATGTGGGAGACCTGGAAGAGTCTCCTGGCTCCTGGGTTTGGATCTTTGTGGCTGCTTGGGGAGAGAATCATCGGACGGAAGACCTTTCTCTCTGTCTACCTCTCTGTGTATCTGACTTTGCGAACAAAAAAAAAAAAAAAAAGAAGGAAGGAAGAAGAAACTGTGGGGCTGCTGTAATGGCTTAGTGGGTAAGGCCACTGCCTGTGCTGCCGACATCCAGTATGGGGACAAGTTTGTGTCCTGGCTGCTCCACTTCCAATCCAGCTCGCTGCTAATGGCCTGAGAAAAGCAAGTGTGCCCTGCCAGCCACGTGGGGGACAGAAGCAGCTCCTGGCTCGGCCCTCTGGGGAGTGAGCCAGTAGATGGAGGGTCACTGGATCTGGCTCCTTCTCTCTCCCTGGCTTGCAAGAAAAATAAGTTAAAGCAAAAATCAGTATGCATGACTCAACATTTTTTCAATCCAGGTAAACACTGAGTTTTTCCTTTCATGCAGTTTTTGAAGTATCCGTCCATACATTTTATTCTGAGGACTCAGGATCTGCAGCAGCATTGCAGCAACAGCACAAGGCGTTCACAGGTGCCTGCCCGCTGCCCTTGCTGCCACCTCCCGTCGGGAGGGAGATTTGCCGCAGTCCCTGGGCTTCTGTTGGAGTTGGTTATTGTTAACCAGCCTGGGCCGCACTCAGTTCTGTTTTAGTTTTGTCCCTCGTGCTCTCTCCTGCTCCAGGCTCCTGTGGATGACACCACATTCCATGTGGTCCTCTGGTCTTCTCGGGCTCTCCCTGGCTGCCACAGCTGACCAGTTTTGATTGCATTGAAACTTAATTGTGATGCAAGCCTTTAGGTCTCTTTTCTAGGGTCCTTGGGGGTTGGTGTCCAGCCTTGTGGATGGGAGTGCCAGGCTCCACTGCCTGGCCCCGGCCCCTGACTCCAGGTGCCTGCTGTTCGGACCTGGGAGGCCACGGTGCTGGTTTAAGTAATGGCTCCTGCCGCCCTACATGGAAAAGCTGGGTCACATTCTCAGCTTTGGACCCCTGCCTTTGCAATATGGAAATGCATACTCTCTCCAATTCTCAAATGATGTTTGTTTCATTTTTGATTTAATAGTAAAATGATTAGGGAGGGGGTCCCTAATGTAGCCTATAGGCTGGGAGTGTGGTGGAGCCCTTAAGATGTTGGTCTGATCTCCCCTGCTGTGGTTCTGCTCCTCATCCCAAGCCTGTTTGTTAGCAAACTGACCCCAGCTGCCAAGAGCATCCCCCACCACCTCCACTGTTACGA